CATACTACCTCTTATCTGTTTCCTCATATCTTCTCTTTTGTATATTATGAAATCAAGTGGTTCTCATCTAACAATCATCGTCATCATCATCATCATCATCACTCTAGTTGTATCTCCAAAAAAACACTAACAATCTTTACAGAGTACTTTACAGCTTATAAGGCACCTGCCTTATGTTTTATTCTTTCCACAACCCTTCATAGTTAACATTGCAAGTACAGAGGACACAAATCATGCTGCTAATGTGGGCTAGATCTAAGATTAAGAGTCTGAGTCTCATCACAATGATAAATGGGAGATTTGAGCAATTATTAGCATTGAAGGGAATTTTTAATAAAAACCTGCAGGCATGTCTCCCCTTCAGAGAACAAATTTTGGACAGAATTTCCTTGAACTAATTAGTTAATAAACCTGACCGTAAGGAATGTAGACATTCTCGCCTGTGTTTCTTCCCCTGTCACCTCCAGTTAGTGACTTTGGAAAGCCTTCTCAGACATTGGCTTTCCAGGTGACCCCACGCTCCTCTAACAGGCAGAAAGGCAAGCGGGTAAATCAGGTATAGGGCTAGGAATAATTGCTTTTTCATCGGAATTGTAATATAGCAAGGCCAGCAATATACCAGGTTATGAATTTTTTAGACCAGTTTTAGATTTACAACAGAATTGAGAGAAAGATACAGAGATTTTCCATATACACCCTGGCCTCATATCTACATACCTTCTCTCATTATCAACATGACTCATCAGAATAGTACTTTTTTTTTTTTTTTTACACTGACACATCACAGTCACTCCAAGTCCGTAGTTTACATGGTGGTTCACTCTTGGTGTTGCACATTCTGTGGGTTTGGACAAATGCATAATGACGTGTATCCATCGTTATAATATCATACAGAGTCTTTTTACTGCCCTAAAAATCCTCTGTGCTCTGCCTATTCATCCTTCCCTGCTACTCCACCCCTGGCAACCAGTGATCTTTTTTCTGTGTCCATAGTTTTGCTTTTTTCAGAATGTCAGATAGTTGGAATCAAACAGCGTGCAGCTTTTTCAGCTTGGCTTCTTTCACCTAGTAATATTCATTGGAAGTTCCTTCATGTCTTTTCATGGCTTGATAGCTCATTTCTTTTTGGCACTGAATAATATTTCATTGTTTGGCTGTACCACAGCTTATTTATTCATTTACCTACTAAAGGACATCTTGGTGGCTCGGGTCATGGAATTTGATGAGGAAAAAAAACCCTGGGGAAGAACGAAGCCTGCTCATTAGTTTCGAACACTGTGACATTACACATAAGTATGTATAACAGCTTTAGAGCTGAAGAAGAGATGGATGGGACATGGTTTTTACAAATTATTTGTGTCTTTGGATGTGATGAGAAATGGGAATGTGCCAGTTTCTTATTTAAACAACAGTTTACGGTGACAAAACAGTTTAGATAACGAGAAGGACTTATGTGTGGGTACAAGGCTGAGTGCTTAGTCATTGCAGGCGGAAGAGGAAGTGGGAAATGAATGAATGATTTATGTAGAACTAAACGAGATGTACCTCAATCATTATTATCAGTTAACTATTACTATTTTTCCATCTGTGGGGGTCCAAAAAATAACTTTCTTCCCATCTTTCTAAGTTCTTCTGGTTGGGCTAATCATCATTAACATGAGACAGGTTCACAGGAGAAAATGCCCAAAATGTATTACGAATGTACATGTGGGTATATTACAAGACTAGGAGACCCAAGGACACATTGGGCACTTGAGTTTTATATGCCAGCTGGACAAAAGAGAGGGAGATAAAGGGCTGGCATTTCAAAGGGAAAACAGGCTATTCACAGGTAGATGAGAAAAAGCAATATGTGGTAAACAAATTCTTGCTGGCCACCTGGACACAATGGAACACAGGGGGAAGTCCAAAAACAGGCTTTGCTAGGTTTCTCCCTGTCTGCCACATTTAGTTTATATTATGATGCCAAGGAGATGCTCCCTCCCTTTAAACGGGCTTTTCTATCTGAATTAAACAGGTAAGAGGTGGGAAGGGTCAAGGATTCTAAGTCTTTTGTTTCTTAATAACCAGTTTAAAATCAATATCCCAAAAGGCATATATTGGGGTGACAAAACTTGGTCCCTTTCACATCCTATGTCCCAAATTTGGATGCTATCTTTATCCTTGAAGGGCTTATATGTGGGGTAGATGAACCTTGCTATTTTTGTTGACTTATTTCCCAATCATTGAGAATATTTAAAAAGTACTAACGTGTGTGTGTGTGTGTGTGTGTGTGTGTGTGTGTGTGTGTGTAGGAGACACTCTTTCTCATCTATGCTTTTAATAAAGGCAATGTGAGTGTCAAAGTAAATTTTTGTGACTTAGACTATTTTGTGGCAGGGGAAGTAAAGAAAAAATATTTTGACCATATATAAAACAAAGAAAGGAAAATCTACCAACTGAGTTTTAAAAATAACCAGTGGAGGTTGACCTGAAAGGTTTATTTTTATTTTCTCAAGCTCTAAGAGACTCTAAGGTCTAAAAGTAAAAACTTTGGGAAGTATGATTTGGAAACATCAACAAAACAGAAGAAAGATTTCAGAGTGTGCAGGAAGACAGGCTTCCCGTTTCCTGGCTACTCACCTCCAGTGATTTTAAACTCTGAAAACATCTGCATGTCATTAGAATTAAACCAAGGCCCTGTAACAAGTCAGACTATCTTTATGGGAACGAATTGATCGAGTCTTAAATTCTTTTTGGATTGCAGAACAGAACATGTTTTACCTTACCAACTGACCAGTAGAGCGTTGAGAATCCCTTTTGTATACATATGTATTTATTTGACTTGTGAAACAGGTCCCTTCCCTTCATAGCCAGAAGGGATCATTCTCAGAAGGCATGCGGGCAATCAAAATATTTTCAAATTCTGAAAGCCAAAGAAACACTAGCTTTGGGTTTATTTACTTGTGTGTGTCCTTCTAAACATTTTTTTAACTGGCCCTAAAGGCCAATAAACGAGGTCTCTATTAGGCCTAACAGAAAAGGATAAAGGGTAAAGGGCATTCAGCAGGAATGACCTGCAAATGATGCCTGTCTCAAGATGGATGGTCAATGAGTTAAGTTGAAACAGGAAAGGGAAAACACAGGACCAGTATATTGTGTTCATACGAAGCATCCAAATTTTTCTCAGGTAGCAAACTCAGGTAGCATATTTATCCAGAAAAAAAATATCTAAGGGTTTTTCTTTCTTAGTCACCACCCATGTTTCAATCTCATAACTATGTGTAAGCAGTATGCTAAGTATTGATGAGACGATATAAACATTCAAGAAGTTGATGGGTATTATTTACTGGAAATGTAACTGTTGACATAAAAGCAGGTATTAGATACTAAAGGATAGGTTCAAGACCTGTGATCCACAGAAAGAATAAAGTGGCATAAATCAAGTTGGAGTTTCAAACCTCTACAGAATTCAACATTTTGTAATAAATATTTCCTTTCCCATTTTATATGCCAAGAGACCAAAACACACAATGTGTGTTAAGTAATTAGCATCAAGTGAAGTTCAAATTTGAGAACAAATTGAGAAAATCATATGGTATTATTTGCAAAGGACCCTTTCTTAGTGTTCTAAATACTGTATTGACAGCCATTAAAAATAACTAAATATTAAAAGAACTAAAATAATGTAAACAGTGTGCATAGATGGGGACATTGACTGTGTTTGATGTTCTAACAGGGGCCTGTTCAGAGAATTCACCTGTGTCAGATAATTTATGGTGTGTTTGGCCAATCCTTTGAATCACATAAAATATTCATGGATTTCTGTCAGTTGCTGCAAAGTTAAAATTAACCCCCTGTTATGGCTTCATGAGATGAAATATTTCCATAGGATCTTTATTTTTTTTACCTTATTATTTTCAGTGTGATTTATACTTCTACCATTTTAATCCCATGCCACCATAGTTCCAGAGCAAAACATCATATTTTGTGGTATCTCTCCTTAATAAATGTATTTGGACCATATAGTTATCCACATTCATGCAAAATGGGCTGTGGCAAGTAGGCTTACCAAATCCCAGGACCCCCAAATTATGGAGAGGTGAATTGAGCTCACCTTTGTTGAGCTTACCATATTCCACATGGTATATATATATAGTATATAAAACCTCTAATTGTCATAACAACCTAGAAAAGTAGAAAACACCACCACTATTTTGTAAAACAGAAAAACTAAGTGTGTAATGAACTTTTACAAGGTTACACAAATCAGATTTTTTAATGAGTGTTGACTCCCAAGACCTTATTCTTTCAATCATAACACAACCTGCTGGCTTACTACCTGAAGAGGCTGTACCCATTTGAAATATAAAAAGAATCAATGGTGTTCATGGTCCTTTGGTAACAAACGCTAAACACCATCCTACTGTTCATCCAAGGCTCTTCAGTCCTTTTGGTAACTGAATTACCCAGCCCAGTGTTTCTTGTGGCATCTAGGGAAAGATAGAAAGTTAGCTAATGTGGAAAAATAAGAAGATATTAGATCTCTCTACTTGATGGTAGCTCTTAGAGAAAGTAAAGGGAAGATACTTGTTTTCCTGAACATTTTTTTTTTCCTGTAAAGGAGAATTGGGGTGGCAGAAGGTGAAGGGCAAATAGAGACTGTTGATACTGTGATAATGAGCAAAGGAGAGTTTATTTGGGGGTTATTTCTCCATCTCCTTGGTCATCGCACCCTTCACTGAATGAGAATATTCTGTTTGGCTTTCAAGCTGGAGTTGTCATGTGAGAAGTATACGTTAATTTCATATTTTCTCATAACTTTCTTTTGGGGATAAGCATTTTGGCTTTCTGCTGTTTATTATTTCAAAGGCATCTATATGCTAATATGTTTATGCTAATTATTTTCATGTTTCCCCTTAGGTTATGCTTCATATCACCCACCAGGGAGGATCATCTCTCATGAAAACTTTCAAATTTAATTTTGAAAAATATTCAGAAAAATGTAAACCATGCTTTCTCCCAATGTAGGAAAAAAAATATGCTCTGGAGAGTCTTATAATTCAAAGAAAATGGACTGGGATAACACTTGGGTCTTCATACTACCAAAATCCTCTTGAGCAGGTACACAAAGCATTTAACATTGTGACACTGACATGTTGGAAGAATAATTAAAATAATAATCTAATAATAGGTTTTTGGAAATTACTAAATTTCAGTGTTTGATCCAGAGAAGAGAAAGGAGAGGCTATTTTCATTCTCCACAGCTTCTGACGTGTATTAACTGCTTCTGTTGCTATAAATACGGTATTTTAATTGTATGTCATCGCTCCTTAGCATCATTTCTAGAAAGCTAATTCTAATGATATTAATGCCTGAAGCTGAGTTTCTGCTTACAGGAAGAATCAAGTAAAAGAGGAACTTCATATAATGAGATAGCTTGATGTTTTCTTCCAGCTTTTTTATTAGATAATTTTTTATGAGGTTATAATTTGTTTTGAGAGTAAGTTGCAATTTTTTAAAAAAAACTTAGAAGTTAACCAATTAACCTGTCTTAAAAGTATTTTTTCAGGCATCTTCTTTTGAAGATAAGCAAGGCTAAAAATCCAATTCTTCCATATGAGATACTAAACCTTAGATCACTTTAGAGGACATTTTACTTTTCCCCCTTGGTTAGGAACTGGACTCCTTTTGTTCCCAAGCATTTCAGGGGTACAAAGAAAAGGCCCCCATTTCATACTCTTCCTCCTTGTTCTTTGCCCTGATCTGAGCTTAAGTAAAGCGAGGATTCAGAAGCACTCGGGAATTCAGACTCCAGATTTAAATTCATTGTATACACCAGCCTCCTCCTTACCGACTCCTCTCACCACTTTTCAGTAGCTGCACCTAATTTCATTTCTAGTTTTTAAATGCTCTCAGTTTTGGACCTCAACAGTGCTTTAGTCTGCAAGAAGTACAGCCCAGCTGCTGCTATTTCTCCTCTTATCTCATTTGAATGCCTCTTGAGCTCCAAGGCAGCTTTGTCAGTAGGAGAATTCACTCACATTCAGGACTAGAAGAAAAGTCTCCTTCTGAAAGGGGGCCTGACAAGTAAACTGGGCTCTCTTGGTTTAGACAGGTACATGGACAAGGTGTGCTGGAACTGCCAACCGGCATTGCAACATCGCCTCACTACAAATAGGAAGCATCCTTGCTGGGGATACGTTTGGTAAAATTGGTTAGACTACATATTTGTCAATTAAAGGCAAAATAACATTTTGTTGAAACCTGGCTATGTTTAGTACAGTCTACTGAAAGAAAGGACCTGCAGTAGTTTATCTGCTAAACCTTTATGACCATCATTATTTTCTTTCTATTGTACACTTTTGCCTGTGACAATAACAAAATACAATAGCTACACATTTTCCCTTTTAAAGTTGTGTTTGGAGATGGATTCACTGAACATTTGACCTTAATGCAGCCCCAACTAAAAAGAAACTTCCTCCTCTTACTCTCCTCTGAACATTATTTAAAGAGAATTCAGATAGAAAAGCAATTTGCATACAATTAGACTCCAAATTTATTAGGTGTAGGTGAACCATGCAATCTGATTAAGGAGGCTGCTATCAGTGTATTATTCTATTTACGAACTGAATTCCATGAGGACAGGAAAGATACCAACCACTGTTAGCCTGGAGCTCTAGAAGATGGCTGCTTTTGGTGGACATTCAGCAAATGTTTGGCATCATGACTCAATCTGTGTGGAAATTGTGTTCAACACAGTTCCAGAAATGCTATGTGATCTGAGAGGGGTGGCACTTCTGGGTCCTCCAGTGCTGGTGGAACATTGTTAAAGGCACATGGCTTTGACATCACATAATAGGGACTAGATTCAGAAAAGCCTGCATTTGAGTCCCACATCATTACCTCCTAGTTTTCTGACCTACGTGAGTTTCTTGGCCTCCTTGAGCCTCATCCTCCTTGTGGGACATATGAAAGAAAAAAAAAATCACATTTACTTTGTTTAAATTGGCTCTGAGGATTAAATGAGATAATATAGTTGTATCGTGCCCCACCTAGTAAATGCTCAACTAATGGTCACTACTTCTATTATCATTATTTTTACTCATAATAATCCTTTTAGGATTGTTATCATTATTAATGATATTAATGGCTACATGAAAGATTCAAATTTTTTTCTTCCGAAGAACTTAGATAGCATAAATCAAAAGTTGACTTTTTAGATTAGATACTTTTTCTGCTAGCAACACAGGGACAATGGATGAAGACGTGGAAAGCATGAGTTGTCAGTGTCATTCACCTTCACAAAGTTTCTACACCATCATAAAGTTAAAGTTTCCTTAAACACCATTTTGTTGTTAAATCTAAGATGCTACACAAGGTGAAAAATTTAAAAGCCCATCAAATTTTATTGCTTATATCTAACCAATGCCAAATATTCATTGTAAGGTAATTCATGTAAATTACCTGAATATTTATTCAGGTAAGATGGGAAAAAAAATCCACAAGCTAGATATTTTTACCATCACTTCCAAGGATTCAGATGTCTATCTAATGAGCTGGCGTTTTCACTTGCCTTTCAGATACATGATATATAAAGCCATTTTGTGATTGGCTTTTTATGTTGCTTGTAGTCATGGCCTTGTTGATGACAGGGTGCAATTTGAAATTCCCGAATTTCACAAGGTGTGGGATTGCTCTGAATCCCACTTTCAATAGGCTTTCAATAGGAAACCATCTTGCTGGTTGAAGAGCCCGAGTAAACTGCCAGGCCATCTTGAAGGAGCCCAAACATCATACAAGAACACGCAGTTGGGTCTGAAGGCCATTAAAAAGTTTCAGCCTTGCTGCTAAGCAAGGGAAGAGTAAATAGGCTTGTGTTTGCCTCGGAAACACATGGCTCCTCACAGAGAGAAAAGTCAGATGTTCATTAAACCTTTTCAGGGTTAAAAAGGATCATGGTCATTCTGTATTGAAAAGTCAGCTTTAACTTCTAATTGCATGCCAAAAAAAAAAAAAAAAGATCCACAAATGTATTTGCTAACAAAGGTTCTTACTGCAGATAAGTTGCACAGTAAAAAGGGAAGTCTTTTTTTTCCCTCATATTTGGAGTGACTCTACTCACAATAGAGCCTTCATTTAAACACTACCTTAACTATATATTTATATGTTCCATTTAATTTTCGCCCTTTCCTGTGGATTTCCCTCTTTCATGAAACCATCCCTCGAAGGAAATCCTGACAACAAACTAATACCTCTACCCCGGTGTATTTTATGGTGTTTCATTTTAAATAGTCACACTTGGGTTAAAATGCAGGATCACTTACCTTACACAATGCCTAAGCATATAGTAGAGGCTCAATAAATAGCACTTAAAATAAGATAGCACTATTGAATTAGAGCAATATATTCCTATATTTCATTTCTATTCTATCATTCTTCAGTTGGAGTTGGCATAATTTCTTCTCCAATGGGCAAGGTTTGGGATTGTTCACAGTCACAAGTGAAAGAACAAAATAAGAGAGATTTTCATTTATAAGATTGTCCTTCTCTTATCTACTGGTCTGGCCTCCCAGACTGTCTGTCTGTCTCTGGAAAGCAAAGTCAATAAAAATGATTAGAGCTGGCATCTCACAAATGTACACCCTTAAACCATGAAGCAGTAATGCTGTGCAGGAAATATTTTTCTGACCTTTTCAAATTGCATCCAACTGTCTCGGGAATTTCTCAGTGACTAGAGGTAATAAGGTTCAATCGGTTTTACTGGCTGGCTTCAAATTTAGTTCCTTCAAATCGCTAACTTATCTATTCTTTGCATCTTGGCTCTGGCATCCATTCAGCACAGAAATCCATGCATCTAATCTTTTTTTTTTCTTCTTTCTTTCACCTTCTCAGGCTTTGTTAAAGGATCACACTGTAGAATCTACACCCCTTACTGTCCCTTCAAAGACAATATTAGCATGAGAAGGTTAGCGGGCGGGCACATTGTCTTTTGAGAAGCCCTTATTGAATTAAATTAGCTTTTAGATTTCATCTCTGTCTTACCCCTCAGTTTTTACCTATGTGACTTACGGCTCAGTAATCTTCATTATATAAAACTTTTTCCACTTAACCCTACCACAGGCACTCTTTAGAATATGAAAGAGGCAAAATATGTGAATTTCTTTTGTGTGAAATTGGTTTTGTTTTTTTTTGTCCTGTGAGTCCAAAGGCAATGGACACACTTCCCTGGTGAGGATGGGAGTCAGCCAAGTGTGACGTGCTAAAACGGCAGCTGGGAGGCCCCATTCTTCACCCTGTCCTCTGAAGGGGAACAGAAAACAGAAGCTGGGGACACATTTCTTGACCTCACCAAAGTGTGGGATGTCAGGAAGCCTTGACAAGGAGTTAAAAAGCTTGTCTTAGTTTACATATTTAGAGCATCTCCGTGCTGAGTGTGATTCTGGGGAGATATCCATGTTTCCTCGTTTTTAGGACACATCACATGCAGCACACACTCTGTGCTCTCTCCCATTCAGCGCCTCTGTACTGCCTTCTGCAGGACTGATTAGAATCTTGGCTGGAAGTCTCTGTGGTCAGTGGAGCTTGGAGCCTCTTTCCAGAGCCTCTCTGTTTATGGGCAAACAGCCACCAGGAGGAGGAAATCTCTTTGAAGTTGCCCTCCTAGGAGTCTGTGTTTTTGCTTGTACAGTAATTGTCAAGCTTGATCATCATAATATATTGGGCTTTATGAAAATGAGATCATTTCAAACAACTCGATTCAGAAAATGGGTTTAGAAAAAGAGGATGTAGAGCTGGCATTGCTTAATTCACAGCAGTGCATTTTTTTCTTAAAAGAAACCGAGTACCGTTGGCCTCCAAATCCGCGGTCCCACATCCACGATTTCAGCCAACCACAGTGGTTTTTTAAGTTGCTGTTTTGTCACTTGCAATTCAGTGCATCTTGACTGTAGAGTCACAACCCCAGTGACATCTCCTTACAGCCTGGGTATGGTTATCTGGTGTTATTTTAGTAGAGATGAGGCATCTTGGCAGTTTTGCATCATCAGATTTCCCCAATATTTGCAATGCAGCAGTGCTTTTACAACCAGCTGGGGAAGAGTGAAGACTTTCAGGTGAGGCAACCAGAGCAGGTCTGTTCCTTGACTGGAGCTGTAGTACACCTGATAGGTTGTTAATGTAGGTGTGTGTGTGTCTGCATGGATGTTTGCAACCATGTATGAGGCATACGCGCTAACTTGAACTTGGGATTGGAAGTCGACAACTCCAAAACCCAGTGGATTCCATTTTCTCCGTGAGCATGTCATCTCGCAGTGAATTGGAAACTTGGCTCTACCTATGAACCCTTTCAGACAGAGGGCGGCTTAGCTACCTGACCCTGATCACTTCACATTTAGTGCCCCCTCTTTCCCATTTCTAAGCTATATCATCTTCCCTGCCCTTTAGGACCTGGAGGTAAAACAAGATCAATGTTCAGCCTTTCCATTGCCAAGTGTAAAGTGATTTGAATCTGGTGAAAGAAAGGAGTGAGGCAGTGAAGGGTGATTTGTAATGGTTATTGTGTTTCACTGGATCCCCCCAGTTTGGGGGGTGGTTGGGGAGCTAATCAGGAACTTCCAGGTAGAGAGGCACAAGGGGAGTGAGAAGCCTAATTAGCAGTGCTGCGAATTTTAATAGCTGTTCCTTATTAGATATAACTGCTATTTACTGGTTTAGCACAGATAACTCACAGTAGCCTGATCTCATCTGTCCTGGAGGCTGATAAGACAGGCACAACTCTCCTCCATTGACAGGGGCAGAGAATGAGGCTTAGAATGGATCCAATTGAGTTTGCTTATAAGTGGCAGAGGCATGGTGTGAAGCAATTTATTTTTACATGGAAAGGAAAACAAATCATTCTGTTTGTTGTCCTCAATGGGTTTTTGACATTTCCTTCTCTTTCTCCTCATCCTCCGTCACCTCCTTTTCCTGTCTTCTTACTTTGCTTCTCCTTCTTTTCTCAAAGATAGAATGACTTCAATCCAAGTGTATCCCACTGTGTCTTCTTCAACTGGACAACACCTCTTCTCTCCATTGTCATTGGGTTTCTTTCAGTCGAGCTACTTATTAATGATTTTGAAAGTTTAATAAGGGCCAAGAGTTCTGGCTACTGGCTTAGATTATAAGGTAATTTTTATTCCCTTTAAATAATAATACAGGTTTCAGAAGATGATGTGCTGCCTTTGGTAAGGATTTACCAGGGTAAAAGATGGATTGAGGAAAGCAGGAATTCAAAGGTATTTTTGTGGGTAGCCCAGTGAAGCCTGTTTCTCTAAACATAATGTTTCTAAATCAGGATATCTAGGAAATTAGATTCCTTCAAATATACAACCAGAATCCTTTTTTCTTCTCTCATTTGCCTCACACATCAATATTACAAAAGCAAACATTCTTCATTGCCAAAGCATGCTTATTATTGAGGCCTTAGCTCAATGGAGATATTGATGCATAAGGATTCAATTTCTACTCTTCTAGCAATGCCTGGTTTGCTTCAGTCTGTTTCTCAGGGAAGGGGCTTGGCTATCTCTTCCTGGTGAACCTGTCTTCCTATGTTGCCATAGCATTGCTTAGTCTCTGAGGCAGAGGCCAGCAACCTGGTGGGGCCTCATTTGTTCCCAGGCATATCAGAAGACAGAAAATTGATTCCAATCTAAGCAGAGTGGTAGAATCTCAAAAGCTCTGTCACCACCGCTCACTGCAAACATCTCTCTTCCTAGAGAGTGTGTTCTGAAAATTTGGAAGCATCTCACTTGTAATAAATATTCCCCTTTTAAAAATTTCAAACAGGACTACACAGGAAAGGCAGCATGGCTGTAGACGGAAATAGGGTCTGGAACTCTCTCTTGCTCTTGCTCCCTCTCAATCTGAGGTCTTTTGAATATGCATGTAATCTCTGTACATAGCTCTTCCTTTATGCTTTGCACAAGGCTCCCTCAATTCCCACTACCACCCTTATTGGAAATAAACTCAAAATAATATAAACAAACATGAATAAATTGCTCTGAAACTATCTGCCACATAGAGTCCAGCTTAACACTTTGCTTTCCATTATGGCTGAGGGAACGGAAATGACAGCTTCAACTTTAAATCTGTAGTTAGTAGTGGGCACCTGCCTGTGATATACAGGCAATCTCCACATATTGTCAGGGTTGCAGCAGTATTTATTTTTCCTTAATTGGAACCCCACTGTGGGATTTCCTCCCCTTGACAAGGCAGTATATTTATCTAGACATAGAGCATAGCCACCATGGTCTACTGTAATGTTATAGTCAGAAATATAAACATTGGGATCAAAATGAAAGCAATACCTAGGCTAATGGAGTTTCTAGGCTGCCTTTTGATATTAGAAGCTCACCATTTTTCTCAGTGTTTATCCTTGGAGTTAAAGCGATGTCAGCAGAAATTCAAATTGAATACTCTTTCTCACAATGTCTCCTCTTCTGTTTTAATTCTCCTTGGCATTGCTTGGAGAAATGAGAGGATAACTGATAGAATTACTTGGTTATTACACATAATGAACAAGTGAACAAACACAATAGTTTGGGGCGCTTCATGTAGAAATGTTACAGTTTTATTATGTACTTTTCCCTTTTAGGTGAATAAATATAATAAGATCAGCTTTATGAAAATGCCTGGAAAACCTTAATTTTATGAAAATTAAGTAATTAAAATGAAATTAACAAGTACATCCCCTTTATCTTAATGTTTGGTGTCAAAACAGCATTCATTACCTTGGACATCAGAAGGCCACTTCATTGTCTGTATTTGTATTTCCTTCTTTCTTGTGCTATTTTTATTTTTGTCATTGGAGTTCATGAAGACTTAATCATCAGCCCTCTAATTTTCTAGGGGGAAAAATGTTGATTTATTGAACCGGCTGCAGAAAAAGAAGAGGATCAATCTGACATTGTAGGTTAATAGTAGGGAACAAAACACATTCATAATTAGAAGTGAAAAGGACTTTCCTTGTTCATTCCAGTTTATAATAAAAAGCCTTTCGCCAAAGTGTCTTAGAAAATAATGCATTCAGACTGAGTCGAATTACCGCCTAGCAGATTCTATTTATCCGTAGCTTAAAAAGCAGCTGCGTTTTTGTAAAAAGCAATGAATGTGGCAGTCCTACTTAAAGGTAGAAGAGAAAGAACACCCCTTGTTTTGTAATAAGGGGATTTTCAATTTAAAAGAGAGAGCGAGCCTGTTGTGCGGAGTACGGTTATTACATTCACTGTATTCTATCTCACCCACCAGGAGGCTAATAACGAAGGGGCCAGGGAAGGAGGCCAGTGCTACTGAGGGTTATCTCACAGCCTCAGATGCTGGATAAGTCCGAGGAGGCAGAATCGCTTTTGGATGACATTCAGAAAGGCCGGAGTGATTATTTGGAAGAGAAAAGCCTGCCTATTCTTTTCCAAGGTAAACAGTTCATTTCATCTGTCAGCTGCATGTTTCAGTATAAAAATATGTTTATAGAAAGATATCTATAAAGGTTGCCTTTTAAAAAAATCATTTTAGGTGTGTGACTGTTCCCTGGGCCTGCCCGTCCACCGATGAATGACTAGCAAGCGGCTTAGACAAAGGATGCACTCGGAACCCCACCACACCTGAAGCCACGCTTTGAAGGATCTGCCAAGCTCACTTTTAATCATGAGAAAGAAATTACCCACATGGAGTCAGCAGAAAATGAGAAAGTAGAGCTCGTGCTGCGAATAATTCCAGCAAGTGCCAAGGGGCTAGTTGAGGAATGGCTTCATGAGGTGAATATCTTTAGCTTGTACTTAGGGTTTGGCTAGCGTATAATCATTTTCTCTTTTAGGAGCCATGACTACCCTAAGTGTCTTTCCTAACTAAAGAGTGCTCAGAGCATTTGTCAGGATGTTGACAGATTTGATACCAGCCTCTCATCTCCGTTGTTATTTACTAGGACTAATTTTACACTTGCAAATATGCGAAACTCAATTTAGGCGGAGGGTCTCTCCGAGCCAATGGCTGTTAATCGCTGTATGTATTTGTGTGTATCATTGTGAGTGCACGTCCAGTAATTTCTGTCTCTGTGTACGTATGCACCCTTGTTCTCGTCTTCTCTCTGTTGTGCACGTAGGTTGGGAGGATTGGACGGCCAATGGGTTCTCAGATGTGGTCCCAGGCTTTCATTTGATTTTTGGACCAGGAAAAAAGAATGTGTCACATCATGATGAATGGTCAATTTGAATTTTCAATTCGTATGAAAGGATAAGGGGGAGGAGGCTATGAGCCCAGTGATGAGACTAACCTTTTCCCTTTGGGAAGAGCAGGATTCAAATTAAACATCACATTCAGTGTGAAATTAGTTTGAAGGCCTCTTTTTTTTTTTTTCCGTGCCTAGTTTAACTCCTTGATGGCTGCTCTTACAGAGAGGATCCCTTCCATCATGCCTCTGTGCCTCAGTCTATTCCCAATGGTCTACAGTTCCTCTTCCCTTGTTTTATTTTCCCAAAGATCCAGTCCAAGAAACCATGAAAAGAATATTGAATACTTTTCTATTTTGATAGCTTCATTATTCACAAGATAAGATTCTCCCTAAAACATGTTATTTCTTAGTTTCCCAAACTAATGTCAGAAAGAAAGAAAGAAAAAGAAAGAAAGAAAGAAAGAAAGAAAGAAAGAAAGAAAGAAAGAAAGAAAGAAAGAAAGAAAGAAAGAAAAGAAAGAAAGAAAGAAAGGAAGGACATTCTTTTAGGGATAATTTTGCCAGGTAGGAGGGAGAAGGAAAGCAAGGTGATCGTTTCAAAAGATCGTTTTGGTGCTCTCTGCTCTATGCCAGCCTGCTGGCTGAATGAGCCACAAGGAAGAAAAGCAACCCAGAACCCCAAGTTTTCTCTCAATTCTTTAGTTTCCCACATAACTGAGTCACAGGATCACCACACCAACCTGCAGCAACTTTAGCTTCAAGAAAGTAAGTGCTGGGACACTTTGAAACTACCCTTCAGTACTTATTGGTCAAAGGACTGAGGCCCAAGCTCGTAGGGAGAACCCGCTGTCCATGAAATTGCTAGGCTGCGTGCCCATGTGTGCACACCTTTGATGGCACAGTTAAGCATCATCAGGATTTGATATCCGAATTGTTCTCTTTCTGGAGATTAATGGCTTGTGGACAAAGGGGAAGTATTGAAAAGACTAAGAAGCAAGATTATCTTCCTATGTATTTTCCAAAGGAAAATGTTAGGGCTCTTTAATGCTTTCCCTAAAGGATGGAGAGGTGTGGATGGAGGTGACCAGCTGGGGTAGGCTGTGCAGGAGGCGAGCCAGCTGGTAGAGGGATGAAGCAGGGGAGGTGAGGCAGCTGGAGGTGGAGGTAGGGGTGGAGTGGGGGAGGTGGAAGATAGAGGCAGATGAGCAGCTGTGTTTATTTTAATACATATCATTTAACCCTCACCTAAAAACAAATTGGAGAGGTTTGGGAGTGCATTAATCTGGACCCAATTAGCATGTCTTTCTCCTTCAAAAGTGCAACCTGAGATTAATGAATATAAACTAGAGTTTCAGATGCAGTGCTTAAATCATTTGCATGTTTCATACAAGGTAATTGAATTTATGTATGCACTTCCTTTCATTTAACTATTTCCAGTCTCCTCCCTGTGATTCACATAAACCAAGATGTCATTATAGTAACCTCTAGGTGGAAATAGCTTGCCTAGACTTCACTCCTAGTGAGAAACTCAAGTTCTTGTTTCTTTTATTTGAATTTGCACAGTACAGTATTTTTTAAAAAGCAGAGGTTAGTGCTCAATAGTCTGGGACACTGTTTCAGGAGTTGGCAAATGGGCATTCCAAATTTATTTTTAAAAGGCCAGAAATCCATGAGAACTTAGGACATTGAGTTTTCAGTAGTCCTGGAGAATTGGGTTTTGGCGTGGCCACATATAAGTGTATTAATAATTCCATGAACAATGTCATTTTAATACAGCATAAAGAATGTCCTTGGGCTCTGGACCTGAGTTATTTAGATCACTGAGAGATTTAGTGCACAGTATTGTTTCTGGCAGAGTTAGATATTTTCTTCCCTAGAGATGGGGTGGGGGATGGTGTCAGCCTCCATGAATGTCTATAGATTGAGCCCTTAGCACTTGTGGTCACTTAGCATGCTGTAGGGTTTTTTCTCTGTCTTTTTTGTTTCTTTCTTTCTTTTTTTTTTTTGTTATTTAGGTGTAGGATGCTTAATTCTGACTTAGTGCAAACAGATGCTAAGACACCCCCGCCCCCTCCCCCCACCTGCTCCAAAATGAAAAGTCTGAAAGCTGACTATGGGCATGTAAGAAAGCTTCCTGGGGAAGAAGCTGAAATAAGAGGCTTAAAATAAATCCCCTGGTTTCAGCTTGTATCAGTGATTTGTCTGTCTTCTGTCTTTCCTCATGTGTTTCCAAGTCCATTGTCAAAGTGATGAGCCTTTCTCCAGGAATTCTCCCCAGTGTCCTTTGTTTTTGGTGAATTCAATGGTTGAGTGTTGCTGAGTGTCTCCTGGTCTTGTTTCCTGGTCCTTGTAGCGAAGAATGTTGTTGAAGGATAAAATTGTGTTAATTTGTGATGTCACAATTTAAGTGTGCTTCCTGTCACTTATGTGTAGTTTAAAATGTTCCTTAATGTAGCATGAAATGATTGGCTAGCTTTGAAATGGTTGTGAAGTCATGTGAAGAAAATAAGTTTTGCATCCGACCAAGATAAATTCACTCTAGTGCTTTATGGCTTTTTATTCCTATGTGATAGTAATAAAGTCTCATGTAGGGATGGAAGCCATGAAATACATTGTGAAAAATCATCAACTAAGAAGGGGCCATCAGTATAGAAAACGTTAGCCTGTGGAGCTGTGAATGTGATGGAGAAATGATTTAGTGTATAGCTTGGCTACATGCTTGGTGTTTCTTTGAGTGTCTTTATCCTTAGGTTTTGACAGCTAAGGAATCTAGGTTACAAGAGTTGATTCATCTTCGTGATCATTGATTTACATGCACATTTGGATTTGCACATGTCTGTTTATCATACATTTTTCTCTGTTTTCTACTAACGAACGTGCTCTAGGAAAACTATTAATAGCCCACCAGTCTGGTAGGCAGCATTCAGTCCTCCTATGCCTTCTTTTTCCTGTTGTTGTCTTCTTTCTGAAACAAAGAAGAAAGTGTCACATCAGACTTGCCCTCTTGGAAATGTGGTCCAGATTGCTCTACTCCCAAGCTCCAAAACAGGCGTACATTGGATGGGCTAAATCAACACCTTCTCAGGTCCATAAATCCACTGAGAGTTGTTTACCTCTTACGGGTATAGTGTAGTGAGAAATCCTGTTGTCAGAGGAAAGGAGGAGGGCTTTGGAGTGGCGGTGGCTTCTAATCTCTGCCACTCCAACTTTGTGACTTGGGGCAAGTCATTTAAAGTCTTTATCTTTAAAATGGAGGGAAGTAATACACCTTGCAAAGTTGTTATAAGGATTCAATGAAGTAATGAATATAGTACCTAACAAATTATTTAGCATGTTTTTAAAATAATTCATTAAATATTAGTTTTTCTCCCTTCCTCTCTCTCTTCCCCCTCCCATTCCCCTCTCTCCCGCTCTCTTGCCCCCCCATCCCTTAAGATGTTAGTCTAAAAATGGCATCTTTGAGAGAGAAAAGACTTCAACAATGTCTAGTCGCACCTCCTTTCTATATGTGGCTTAAATACCTCAGTTGAATTAAATAGTTTATTTTTTCACTTGAACTGTTTTCATGTTGATGAAGGACTGATGAATGCTTTTACTATTTTCTGTATATATATTTTTCCTTGAACTGTTTTAATATTGACTTTTGACCTATACTCATTTTTATTGGTTTTCTGTATTTTTTTCAATGAGAATTCTAATAAAAATTATTTTGTTATCTTTTGCCTCTCCATTTCCTCCACACAATGGGATTTTAGCCTGTGTTCTGAAAATGTCTGGGCTGCCCCAGTAAGATAAATGATGCCAGTTCCTTAGAAATGGCTCACTAGCAGTGCAAAGAGAACTATATCCTCGCTGAATTTGCATATCAATGAGCTTGGGGAAATTTGTCAATTTAATTATAACTTTGATGCTAGTTTAATTTATAAGCATATAGAAATTATAATTTGACTTTATCACTAAAGTCTATGGAATAATTGTGGATAAAGAAAAGGACTTCGGAAATACACAAATGCTAACTTTAAAAAATTACAAAATAATATAAGTGCCTTGCTATAAAAAATAGAACTTAGTGAACATTAATGATACCATATTTGCATCCAGAGTTATTTTATTGTAATTGAATTTGTTTTTTAAACACCATACTTACCCCTATATATCCAGATCTTTGTAATGTCCCTGACACATTGTAGGTTTTCAAATATTAGTGAAGAAATGGAAAGGAAGGAAGGAGAAAGATAGGGGGAGGGAAATGAAGAAGTAAAAGGCCATATCACCATAAAAATACATTATGTGGTTTGGGAAGTAGGGCAGACACACATACACAGGTAAAGGTCTGTTGGAAGAGTGAGGAGAGTTCAATTCTGTAGTTGCGTATGACTAGGCCATTCCAGATAAAATGTAAGGAGTAGCATATACAACATTACTAGAGGGACCCACAGCAAGGAAAGGGCCCTAGAATCAGGGAGAGAGCCATGTCAGGATTTATAACATCAGCCACATTTCCACAGGATTTAAAATTAATTTATCAAGGAATTTATGAAAAGCTCAAGTTGAGTGAGTGGTTCTTACAAATTTTTCTAACATACAAAGTATTCTACCCTGGAGAACATATTTACTTCTAAATATCTTCACAAGTACCATTAGAAACAGATAGTAGATTTTAATGGACGCACTTACTTAGATTAATTAATTACTGCTGAGTCTCAATGGGCTGCAATTAGCTATTACCCATGTGAGATAGGATGAGTCTAAGCTGCCAGCAGGCCCATGATTTCAAGGATGGCCATGTATTTGCCCATATTTAAACTCCAATACTTGCTGTAATTATGAGGCAACTTCTGCAAAAATGGTTATCTTCAAGAAGGGCTCAGCCTCTTCCAATAGCTCTGGATAATGAATGTGTCACCAGACCCTGGCCTCTCCAAGGTTATTGGTTGGTAAAAACCTTACAGTGTATTCCTATCCAAAGTGCATATAAATGCGTTAGCCAGGGGGACAGAGTGCTGCAATAACAGTGCTCTCACTCAGCAAGTGAATGAGTAAAACTCTGTCTTGCCAGTGGTCATGGCAGAAGCAGGAGACACAAGATCAGAAAAGAGTGACAGAAAAGAATATGCAGCAAAACAATTCTTCCCACTGTGTTTCCCTCCTATGTCGCTATCAGAAGTTTCACTTCATCAGAGATACCACCACCACCATTACCTTAACCAATGGAGGATTAATATTTATGGGATCTGCATTTGGGCAGTTTAAGAAAAGCCACACATTCAAATCCCAAATGACACTCTGGAATTGTGAGGCCTCCTAAGAAGGTGAAATAAAGAGTTCAGGATTCTTCTCTCATTCTTTGGATGGTCCCAAGCACTCTGAATCCATGGTTCAAATAGCAAAGCCTAGTATTTGTAGTCACAATTTAGACCTCACCAAGTAG